TGGTAAAGCGTCTCCCAAGATACAACGATCACACTTGCAGAAGCAGCACTTCGACTGCAAGACAACGAACCAGAAAGAATGAAAATACTCTCTGCAGACTGATGCAAGGAAGAAGAGATGTATAATGTATGTATGCAGGAAATCGTGTGTATACTTTGTGTTGTATGAGGACTATTCAAATAGAGGAAGAAAGTTGACGGTTTTGGGCAGTTTCCCTCACGCCACTTAATGCACAGTTTCTTCGAACTGATGGGTCGGTTTGTAAACTGTCAAAGGGAGGGAAAAAATTAAATTCAATTTTTTTTTTTTTTAAAACCGAAAATAAATAAATAAAATTGAATTAATTTTAACCCAGGCCCACACCCGAACCCGACCCGACCGGGTCGGCCGGACGGTGGCGCGCGCGCGTGGCCTTTGGACTAATCTAGACATTGTCTAAGACTCCCCCCTTTCAAAGACTATTGGTACCCCTTGGGGCCCAAAACCCATTTCCAAACTTGAAGCTTATTAAGTGGTTCAAGGTTGTGTTTGCAACCTATGTGGGATTGGAACATTTTTCCAATTCTTTCCCATTTATCCTCTTATTTATTATCCAACTTTCAACCATAATTTCTCATTCATATTGAAATGGTTTTTCACAATTAAATATTCTACACTCATCTACTCAGAACGTAGAATTTAATTGAACATTAATCTTGATACATCGAACATCGGGTCCCACTTAAAATTGTGGTCAAAATTGACCCAATAGACCCACCATTTCCAACAATATGTACAAAAATTGCTTCAACAATATGTTTAAGAAGAGCAATTCAGAATGGCCATGGAGGCTTGTAGCCTTTCAGAGGCTAAATTTCACTAGTTCACTTGTCTGAAGGAATCTAACTTGATAGACTTTGGTGGGACGGGAATCCAGTACAAGACTGAAAATCGTCGTCCACACAACGTCGTTGCAGTGAAAAAGTTACGGAGGTCAGAAACAAATATTGAAACCGGGGACGACCTTTCTGCAGAGGTGGAACTCCTAGGGAAACTTAGGCATAGGAACATAGTGAGATTATTTGATTATCTAAACAATGATGTTATGATGGCGTATGAATACATGCCTAATGAAAATCTTGGTGCTGCATTACATGGAAAAGAGGCTGGAAAAAGGTTGGTAGATTGGGTGTCAAGGTACAACATTGCCTTTGGAGTCGAACAGGGGCTCGCATATCTTCACCATGATTGCCATCCTCCGGTTATCCACCGAGACGTCATGTCGAACAACATTTTGCTCGACTCAGATTTCGAGGCACGAATCGCTGACTTCGGCTTGGCAAGGACAATGCTTCACAAGAATGAGACTGTCAATGGTGGCTGGATCATATGGATACACAGCACCGGGTTGGTAAGTTTTGCTCCAGTAAGACTGTAGTCAAATAGTTCGATTGTGGATAACATGTTGATGATTTTTTATGAAGATTCTTATTTTGCTTCTCTTTTATCTTATAGAATATGGTTACATGTTAAAGGTTGATAAAAAGTGACATATACAGTTCGGAGTTGTGCTTCTAGAGCTTCTAAAAGGGAAAATGCCTCTAAATCCTGTATTTGGCGAGTCCGTTGATATAGTCGAATGGGTTTGAGGGGGGAAAAAAAAAAAAAAACTTACAAGAAGCATTAGATTCTGACATTTTTGGACAATGTAAATATGTGGAAGAAGAAATGCTTCTTGTCCTCAAAATTGCACACACTCCCAAAGGACAGGCCATCAATGAGAGACATTATAACAATGCTTGTAGAGGCAAAGCCAAGAAGAAAAGCATTTCCCATAATTGGGGATTCACCGCCAACGAAAGAGGATAATATTTGCACATTCACCAAAAGGCCCTCTGTAGTATAACTGAAATTTTACTTCATTCACTTTTTGATGTTTGATTTGTATTCTTATATGTAAATGGCTTGCTTGTTTAACTTGGATTCAATATTGAACACTGTCAAAAAGAAAAAGACAAAAAAGCAAGAATCTCCCTCTCCAGTAATGCGCACTCAATATATGCAGCTAAAAAATAAAAATGTAACGTTTTTCTTCCCTCTTTGACAAAGCTGTCAATGCCTGTAAAAGAGCCAAATGCTCGTAGAGGCAACTTTCTCAAGTGAAGTAGTTAGCCTTAAATATCCATTACGCCATGAGAATTTCACGTTCATTCTTGTTTATCGACCTGAAATCAAGACAAATCGGGCAGTAATGTGACTCGTGAAAAAAACCCAAATCCCATTGTCTTCGAATTATCCAAAATCCAATACGATGAAAACATAATAGTTTAAATCTCAACTCGTGTTGAAAGCAAATAAAACAAAATATATAGAGGTGTAACGTTGGTGTCGACAATCTCAATGGTACATTAAAAAGCTCTTTGAATAAGAAAAAAAATTCAAACACGTCCATAGAACAACATTAGCCTAATAAAAGAAGCCAAGCACTTTTCCACCAACATTCTTTCTCCTTGCCTCTTCATGGTCCATGATGCCTGCAGACGTCGTCAGGACAATGTATCCGAACTGCAAGTACAACAATTATGTCAATCAAATAAGGCATTATAACCTGTATTTTTGGTCACAGTATTCAGCTTTTAATCGACAACCAAGATCAATTGCTATAATCACCAAGGTACAGTCCAACATTCCTATGTTACAGTAGATATAAAATATAAGCATCAAAAGATATAGTATGGATGTTTAGCATCCAAGTAGGCGGATATTCCATCAAGTTTGGCTAAACTCAAAATAGGAG